GGAGCCCGTCATAGACCAGCCACTGGTACACCTCATCCGAGATGCAGAGCACGTCATGCTGCTGGCACAGCCTGGCCACCAGCTCCAGCTCCGCCTTGGAGAACACCTGCAGGGACCCAGGGGTGGCACAGGTCTGCAGCCGGTACCATGCCCAAATGCAAAGTCCTGCTCAGACAGAGGGCTTGTGGCCATGCTAGCTGCTGGGGGCTTTCCTGCACCATCCCATCACACCTCGGCTGCACCGACCCTGTGAGATGGTCCCTCAGGTTCCTATTTACAGTTGAGGAAATGCTGAGAGGCAAGTCACTGTCCCCACCAACCCACCCTTCACCTCCCTGAGATTCTTGCCCCTTTCTTTCCCTGCGACTCTGGCACCTCCATCCTCAGGTCATGGCGGGCAACCCTCCCACTCCACAGATGAAGAAACTGAGGCCCCGAGGAAGCTTGTCAGGAAGAGCCGGGACTTGAATGCAGGTGGAGGGTCCCTGAACAGAGCTGTCCCAGGTACCTTTCCCAGGGGGTTGTTGGGTGTGTTGAGGACCAGGGCTTTGGTCCGGGATGTGAACTTGCTGGCCAGTTCTGTGGGGTCCAGCCGCCAGTTGCTGCTGGAATCCAGCTCCCCATCCTGGGTGGGGCTCTGCAAGAGGAGGTGGGAAGGGTGGCTATAGTTACCCCCTGACATTTAAGTCCCCTCCTTGGGCATCTGCCCCCTCCACCTCCTCCTGGGGCTCTGGAGGCCACTACACCTCCCAGCCCACAGGACCTGGTCTCCTTCACTTGTGTCCTTTCTGTCCCATCTCCCTGGGCCCAGTCCCACCCAGTCCGTGGGTCCCTGGGCCCACCACACCCCACATGGCATCCTTACCGGCTTCAGGGACACAAACACAGGGCGACCCCCAGCCATCAATGTCATGGGCTCATAACAGTCAAAAAAAGGTTCGATGATGATGACCTGGGACAAGGATCAGATCACTGGGGTCAGCACTGCTCTGACCCATCACCCCACCCAGCCCGAGTCATGTCACCCACCTCATCTCCTTCGTCCACCAGGGCCTGGAAGGCTGTGAACAGGGCCCCGTAGGCACCCACGGTCACCAGCACGTTCTCAAGTGGGTCCAACTCCTGTCCCAGCAGCTTCCCAAAGAAACTCGCCAGGATCTTTGTCAGGGGTGGGTAACCCTGCAGGACAGCAGGGTCAGCCCTCCAGACTCAACCCTAGGCAATTCTAGCACCTTCTAGTGTAGGCCTCAGGGCAAAGCCAACTCCTGGGGATGAGCTCTCTCACTTTCTCCACCAGCCTCTGCCAATGAGCCTCTTCTGATCTGGGTCCCTGCCTGGGACTGGCATGTGGTGGGAAGGTTGACAGAGGGCCTTCCTTGGCCAGCACAGTGTGGCAGGGCCCAAGGCCGTGGAGACTCTACACCTCCTAGGTGGGTCAGTGAGTTAAAAAGCACATCTGTGCTCATCGGATCCTCCCAGCAGCCTTGCAAGACTAGGAATGTTGGTGCACCCCCATAATCCCAGTGATTCAGGAGGCTGAGGACAGAGGATCGCAAGTTTGAGGTCAGCCTGAGCGATTTAGCAAGACCTTGTTTCAAAATAAAAAATAGAAAGGGACTGGGGATGCGGCTCAGAGATAAAGTGTTCTGGGTTGCATTCTTAGCACAACAACAACAACAACCAAACGACAGATATTTGATACATAGAAAAATAGACACCCAGAAAGAGAAAATGACTTGGCCAAAGTCACATACGGGTGAAGCAGAAATAGGCCTTTATTTTGCAGCTTTTGAAGCACCTAACTTTGGGGGAAGATGGGATCCATGTGCTTGTGGACGCAGAAAACACACAAGGCTGGGCGGGGCTGGGGCTCGTGGGAGCTGCTCCCATGTGCCACCTCCTCCACGGTGCCTGCCCACCCCCTTGGTTATGACTGGCTTCTGGTCTGCCTTCCCCACTAGGCCATGAGGCACAGGGCCTGGGACAGAAGAGGTCAGTAAACCCTGAACCATGGCCAGATTGAATTCCCTGCTCTCCACCCTGCCCCATGATCTCTCCACCGGCTGGTCATTCCCTCTGGCTCCCCAGGCCCCCCAAGAGAGACCAGCAAACTCACAAAGGCCATGGTGTACTGGTTGAGCATGAAGTCCTCGCTGACGGCCTGCTGAAAAGCTTCCACAGCAAAGTCTGGGGGTGGGAAGTTGGGGAAGCCCTGGCCCAAGTTCACAGTTTCATACTCTTTGGACAGTTCGATAAACTCCACCCTGGGGACAAACAGAGAGTTGGTCCCAGATCACCCCTCTACCCTGCTGGACTTCTGTTTCCAGGCCAGAGTGAGCATGCCTAGGCCCGATGGCGAAACCTGGACAGCTGGCATCGGCCCCCAACCTATAGATCTGCCTGGGGTCACAATTGGTCCCACAGTCGACGAGAGATGGACCAGACACTGTGACGAACACACGGGTCGGCAAGGAGGATTTCAAGCTTCCCTGACCATGATCCAGGGGAAGAAACATTGTTCCCGTCCCAAACACTGCAGAGTACGAAGGACCACAACCACACCATTTTCTGTCCTTCCCTGTCCTACCCTGTTTAAAAACAGCTATTGAGTGGGCAGGAGATGGGGCTCAGTGGTACTTCTGCCTAGCACGCACCAGGCCCTGGGTTCCATCTAACACTGGGGGTGGGGTGAGATAAATAAATAAATAAAAATAACAAGAACACCTGTGGAGACCTGCCAAGCGATTGCTTAACTCATTATTGGATGTGTCTACAGTATAGTGTGAATCCCTGACCACATGACCTTCAGGAGGACCTCTGAGGCACACCCTCTGGGCCACTCTGGGGACAGAGCTGACAAGGTCTTCCAGGTACCACAGGCACGACCAGCCTATATCTATCTATGTATCTATCTATCTATCTATAATATGTATGTATGTATATATATATGTATGTATGTATATATATATATGTATGTATATCTCTAAGTAATCTTTACCCCACTCTGGACAGAATAGGGTCCTGCCAGCCTAATTATGCAAATTTAGATATCATTTATATCTAAAATCTGTCATCTTCCACCAACTTCCACAATGCCTCTGGAGGCCCAGAGTTGCTAGGGCTCAGAGTGGGGACTGACAGGCCCAGAGTCACACAGCAGCAAATGGTAGACCCAAAATTGGAAGGAGGATGTTCCATGGTGGTTGGGACAGGGGATGTGAGGCTCAAAGGCTCCGGGGGGACAGGCTGCCCTCTTGTCTCTTCTGGCATCTCACAGAGCTGGATGCTACCTTACTGGCAAGAGAGCCTTGTGACTGCCCAGACCACTCACAAGAGGCTGAGGGGGCAGCCCGAGGATCAGGCCTCTGCAGGACCAGCCTAGATGGCAGCCAGCAAGGCAGGGCTCTGGGTCCAGATCCTGTTCCCAATGCCATGGGGCATCCAAGGGGAAGAGGGGGTTCAAGACCTTTGTAAAAACAAAATACTATACATGAAAGTCTGGAAGAAAAACTGGTTCCAGTTTTTTTTTTTTTTTTTTTCTGGTACCAGGGAATGAACCCAGGGAACACTCACCACTGAGCCACATCTCCATCCCTTTCTTTGTATTTTATTTAGAGACTGGTCTCACTGAGCTGCTTAAGGCCTATTTAATGGATAAAACTGGCTTTGAACTCCCAATCCTCCTGCCTCAGCCTCCAGAGCCACTGGGATTACAGGTGTACACCTCTCACCTAGCTTGGTTCCAATTTTTGTGAAAAAAAAATTGTTTTTCTTTGAGCATCAACAGCACAAGTGTTATTCAATGGTGTTCGTGGCGTGTGTTTTAAGAGATGGGGTCAATTTTTTTTTTTTTATATTGAGTACTGAACCCAGGGGTACTTTACCACTGAGCTACAACTCAAGGGTTTTGGGAAAGTCCTTGCTAAATTGCCATAGTTGGTCTTGAACTTGAGATTCTCCTGCCTCAGTCTCCCCTGTTGCAGGGACTGCTGGTGTGGCCCCCCGTAATCCTTACATATCTTTTGACTGCATTCATTATATCACTGGTAGCAATAGGAACATGGAGCCTTCATATTCAGAAGAAGTTAAAGAAGAAAAGGAAATTGGGCTTGGGATATAGCTCGGTGGTAGAGCACTTGCCTAGCATGTGTGAGACCCCAGGTGCAATCCCCAGCATCACACACACACACACTCACACTTACATACACACAGAACAAAGGAAGAGCGGCTGGGGACAGAGCTCAGCTGGCAGAGTGCTTGCCTCGCGTGCACAAAGCCCTGGTTCAATCCCCAGCACCACAAAAAACAAACAGAACAAAGGAAGAAGAAGAAGAAAGAGAAAAAAAGCCTCGGAAAAGGCTGGTGAAAAGCTCTGGATCATCCTCCCTTAGATGATCTGACTCCATGGCAAGTGCGGAAGAGTGAAAGGTGGCCTCAGGTACCCGGTGGAGGACTAGCTTCAGGACCTCCTTGCTCCCAGGATACCAAAATGAGCAGAAGCTCAAGTCCCTTAAATAAAATGGCACCGTATCTGCACAGAACCTAGGTGTGTCTTCCCGTGCACCTTTTCAGGGCAGGACCTCAAACGTGCTAGGCAGGTGCTACACCCGGACCCACACACCCAGCCCCTCCCAGACACTTTGTTTTTTATTTTATATATTTATTATTTGTTTGTTTGCAGTGCTGGGCATGGAACCCAGGGTCTCCAGCATGTTAGGCAAGGACTCCACCACTGAGCTTGACTTCCAGCCCCCTGGGTACTTTAAATCATCTCCACATTACCAACCCCTAACACCAGGGGAGGCTGGCATCCTGTATTGTTGGAGCAATGGCAAGGATAAAGTCTCTACATGGTTGGTACAAATATAATTTTGAAAATTACTTTTGATTTGCACGTGGTTGACTCTGTGGGCATGTGGAGGCCACTGATGCAGACACTCTGCTGTGACCCCAGGAAAGCCCTTTGCCCGTGCCTGGGTCAGTGACTATTGCTATTATACACAGCTGCCTTCTCCGCCCAGGGAGGTCTATTTTCTTCACTTGGGAGCCGGGGAGCTAAGCTCAGAGCAGGTATGTGCCCTGTCCCAGCCCATGGCCCAGCGGGGCGAAGCTGAGATTCGAGACTAAGCCTCCTCTGTTGGTGGTAGCTGCCACCTGTACTGGGTACCCCTGAGTCACTGTGACCAGGGATGGCCAACCCATGCCCAAGGGAACCCCCACAAGCTTCCCAGGCCCTCCAGCTCACCAGGGGTTGTATTCCAATCCATCCAGCCTTCGAGCAGGGAGTCGTTTGGACATGGTGAGCTGGGGACAGAGCAAGTAAGGGTCAGCATCACAATCTTCCAGGTGCAGTCGTTGTGGAGAGAGCTTTCTGGCCACAGCTGTGTCCTCCTTTCTGGAGGACCTGGGCTCCCAGGTGGCCAGGCAGCTCCACCTTCTCCCTTCTGTCCCTCCTACCTTCTGGGAAGGCTTCTCTGCCCTCCCCCAGCCCCAGGTTCCCCGTCTGCAGAGGCTGCCTGGGCCACCCATGGAGCCCTGGCTCTCCCAGGTCCCAAGGCAGAGGCCTCATGCAGCCAGGTTAGTTTGACCCAGGAGGGGCCGAGGCTGAGGAGGGTGGGAGGTTGGGAGGACAGCAGCATCACAGGGGTTTTGCTGAGCTCTTCCAGTTAATTCCCAGAAGGACCTGCCTGGGCCCATTTCACAGATGAGCCAACAGAGGGGGTGGGGGGAGTGATGTGTTCAGGGTCACACCTGACTGCCCTGTTTGACCCCAGGCCATGTTCTAACTCACTCAGACCTGGGAGGGCCTCAGGGTCCTCATCCAGATCACACTGTTCTCCCTGAATCCTTCCAGGCCGGCTCCCCGCTGTGCCACAGGTGTCAGAGACTGTCCCAGGCTGATATCCACCCTGCCCAGCCCGCCTTGAGGGGAAGCGGCTCCTTCTGGCCTCCTCCTCCCCCCAGTCAACAGGAGCGGGGCTGCGGGGCAGGGAACTCCTGTCCTGGGGGCTCGCCATCCCAGGTGGCTGGTGGGTTGGGAGCCACCTGCCAGGGCCAATAGTGACCGCTGCTGTGGGCCCAGATGCCTTCAGTCCCCACAGCGTCCATCCCTCTGGAACCGCCTGATAATCCCCACCTGCCAGATGAAGATGCGAGGCCCAGAGGCTCAGGGACCACCGGCTGGAGGTCAGAGAAGCCGGCCAAGACCTGTCAGGGTGGCTGCACCAGCAGCAGGGGCCCTGGACCAGCTGTGCAGTGCCTGGCCCCTCCCCAGTGGGTCACACTGTCCCTTGGCTGAGTCCCTGACACCATCGCCAGGCCTAGCACTCAGCACACCTCAGAATCATTCGCCACGAGGGAGACGCACACCAGGAACCACCGGCTGCAGCCAAGATGGTGCTGGTGACTGTCTTTGGTCACTTGTTTATTAGATTTAATTTTTTTCTTACTTAGAACTATTATTTTCTAAATTTCCTAAAATAAAATTTTTGTTTTTATGGTTAAAAAAATAGGGAGCCAGGTGTCGTGGTGAGCAAGAAGTCCCAGCAACAGGAGAGACCAAGGCAGGAAGATCACTTGAGCCTGAGTTGGAAACCTGGTCTCTAAAAGAAAAGGAAAAAATAAAGTGGAAGAAATGTGTGAGACAGTCACGTTTTAGAAGCCATTAGGAAGCTAGACCCACCTCCTGAAACCTGACCCCTTGCCTCATTTGAATGGCTTCTCCTCAATAAAAGGGTTCAGCTCACTCACACGTGCTCTCTCTCTCTCTTTCTCTTTCTGCAGACCCCTAAGGTCACAAGTGTCTCTTGTGTGGTTATTTCGTGCAGCCCAGTTCACCTGGAGTGACCCTGAGTGTTTTAGTCGTGAGGACTTGACATATGGGGTTTTTGATGTCTTTAACATAGGCTATAAAATAGTACCAGTAACACCTGTTCTGTAAATACAAAAATACCCTAATACGTATTTGTATGTGCATGCATGTTTTCTGTGAAAACATGAGAGCAGAGCGAGGAGTTTAGAAGGCAATTTGTCAAACACCAAGCTGCTCCCTCAGTGGCGACTAGGTGATTCTGGTTCCGTGTTTCTGTGTTTGTTTCTAGAGGTTTTTGTACATGAGCATAACTATTGATGGATTGATTCTGATTGCCGCAGTCTGGCTGGGCACACAATCACGAGCCACCACACAGCTTGTAGATTCAAACAGCAACTCTTTATTCCCGAACTCACACCAGCCGTCTACAATCACGTTCTGGGGAAATCCAAGTTCTCTGCCCAAATTCACACCCACTGGGCTTCTGTCTCCCAAAAAATACTGTCTGAATCCCGTGAGAACTCAAGGGGAACTCAGGCAGCAGGATACGCCCTATTCCCAGCAGGAATAACCTTAAACCTGGAATGCCCTAAACCGGGAACGCCCTAAACCCGATTATCCTAAACCGGGAACACCCTAAACCTGGATTCGCCCTGGTCCTTGAGCAAGGTCACCTACATGCAATGTCACTGCAAAATGTCCTATTTCCACGAGTCCTTCCACTAAGCAACATGGGGTACGCTGGCAAGGAAATTGTCATACCTACTTGGCTAATGGCTCCCAGCATCTGATAAGAACAGTTTTTCAAATGGCATCTTCTCTGAATTCAGGTGTGTCTTATAACCTACATATCAGTTTAGCTGCTCCTCCTACTAGTCCATAAATTAACAGCACATCTTAAAACCCACAGTGTCATGGGTTCAGTGATACATGCATTACTTTTTTTGCGTGTGTGGTACTGCTGATTGAACCCCAGATGCTCAGCCACTGAGCCACATCCCATTCTTTTTATTTCTTATTTTGACAGAGTCTCACTAAGTTGCAGTTTGGCCTTGAACATGCCATCCTCCTGCCTTGGCCTTCTGAGTAGTTGGAATTACAGGTGTGTGCCACAGTGCCCAGCCTGGAATTACTTTTGAACTGGGGATGTGTTCTATAAAAAGGGTAAAGAGAGGCGAGTCAGGGGCAGTGGGGAGGAGGAATGTTGGGAGACAGACCTTGGAGTGAGGGCACTAGGCAGGGCTGGTGGGGGAGGAGTAGGGGCGCAGGGCACAGACTGGCAGGGAGAGGAACAGAGGTGAGGGGAGTTCAGTGGGTTAGGAAGGAGGTGGAAATCATGGAGATTCCAGAAACGTGGCGTGCTCAAGGGAGGGACCTTCAAGTGTGGCACTCAGTACTAGGATAAACGAATGCCTGTTCTTATGCTTTACACATGACAGTCATTCAATCAACATTTATGGAGCACCTACTGTGTATCAGGTACTGGGCTGGGCACTGGGATGATCGGGAGGCAGCAGCAGCACCCAAGCTGACCACCCAGATGCACAGCTACGAGGTCTAGAGCAGGGTAGCAGGAGCCAGGCAGGGCTGACAGCCAGGCTGCAGTCAGGGAAGGCTTCCTGAGGGAGCAGGCTCACGCACAACCTTGAAGCCAGGACCTCGCCAGATCCCAGGAGCCGGGGCCATGCAGGGGTAGGTGCTGGGAGAGGACACTTACAGAGTGGTGCAAGCACCGGGTGAGCGAGGCTCCGGCCTTCCTGAACATGCCTCCCAGGGCCACGGGGCACTGCTGACTTCTCCTCCAGGGGCAGAGGAGAGAGGAAGAGCACACCAGGCCAGAAGCTCAGCACTTGGGTCCTACACACAGTCTAACAACAACAGCATGTCACTGTGCCAGACAC